ATGAGTGTTCCTGCACCTACCCCAGCCCCTCACCGCTAGGGGCGGCAACGTGTGTGTGTGTGTGTGTGGGTCATGAGTGTTCCTGCACCTACCCCCGCCCCTCACCGCTAGGGGCGGCAACGTGTGTGTGTGTGCGTGTGCGTGTGTGTGTATGTGTGCGTGCGTGCGTGTGTGTGTCTGTCTGTGTGCGTCATGAGTGTTCCCGCTCCTACCCCGGTCCCTCACCGCTAGGGGCAACCTCTGTGTGTGTGTGTTTGTGTGTGCGCGCGCGTGCATACGTCATGAGTGTTCCCACACCTACCCCCATTCCTCATCGCAAGGGGCAACCTGTGTGTGTGTGTGTGTGTGTGTGTGTGTGTGTGTGTGTGTGTTTCTCCTTATACACTCATGTATATATTCATGTATATATATATATTGAATAACTTTTGCTCATGACTACACATGCTTGTTATTTGTTGAATGTTTCACCATCCATGTTTCCATCCAGCACTGTAAGATAAGTAAGCCTAATATACAGTGGAAACCATAGAACAGGCCCGGTAATAACAGGGATCCGGTAATAACAGGGATTTTTAAAACATTTTTTCCTACTCTTTGCCTCTATTAGAAGTTACCGGCAATAACTGGGCATCATGAGAGCCCAATCGGTTACAGCAGGGACAACGGCTCGTTAACAATGTGTAAAAAGTAAGAGACAGAGAGAGAGAGAGAGAGAGAGAGAGAGAGAGAGAGAGTAATGCTGTGATGGAGCAAGCCACACCACTGCAAGCACACGCAGCGTGTGAAGCGAGAGGGGGGGCTGCGGTGTGCTGTAGACTTCGATCTATCCCTAAGCCGAGCTGCACGCACGTATCGTAGCGTCTCATTCACAGGCCTGCTACATGGCCACGAGAGAGGGCTGCGGTGTGCAAGGGAAACTACCCATGAGTAAATACAGCTGGATTAGTCCACGAATGCTTACTTCCCTTGCATTTCTGATTTAACAGGGATCTGATATAACAAGTTAACAAGACTTTTTCTATGGTCTCACCATCCCTCAGCCCTGTTATGTCAGGTTTCCACTGTAGAGTCATTACTATTTCATGGATTCCAGTGATCTGAATGAGGTTAAGAATGTGCTATTGTGTCTTCTTTGTGTCATGTGTCATGCAATAAACTCATAAATGACCATCATTCATAAAATAAACTTTGTTGTTCCTTCGGGGTTTTTCTTTCTTTTACCATTTAGTATTTTCCTATTTTTTATTTTTCAGTCTGGTATTAAAGAATATATATTTAAGTTATGATTTTTATTTAAGTTTAGAGGTGCTTGTAGCGACTGAATCTGCTTATAATGGGGCAAAAGTCCTTATTTTCCATTAGAAATCTATCTGTCCTTATCTCTCCTCCTCCTTTTTTGCGTTTGTTACTCTCTTATAACTCATCTTTTTTTCGGCACTTCTGTGACCCTATTGTGTTGCAAGTACTATAAAACTGTTACAAAAAAACTCCACTCAGACCTGTCGCAAGACAGTGAGAGAAGACAGGCACGAATGACACACACACGGCCATCCAATGATATTTGTCGAAGTAGTCTACGGCTTTTTTATTTGAGGGGG